TACTGATATTTTTTCATGGTACTCGCCGATACTGAATACCAATACCAGAAGTCCCATTAAGGAAGTCAGGCAACGTGTAATGACTTGCCACCTGGCTTCCTGATTAGCAGGGAAGCATTCTCCATGCTCCCTCATCACCAGGTGACAAGGGAGCATGGAGCCGTCTTCCCGGCCAATCAGGAAGCCAGGCAGCATGTAATGACTCGCTGCCTGGCTTCCTGATACCGGACGTTTGGGTATTGGGCTAGACATCAGAGCAAATAATCGGTATCGGCACCGATACTAGTATTGGTATCGGTGCAACACTAGTTATAACTAGAGATGAGCCTGGGCTTGGTGCAATCCCAGTTCGCCCAAGCCTGCTCAAAACTGTGACCGATATTTTGCCCCTCCCATACCAATCAGTGGCGACAGGGGGCGTTCCACGCCCTTTGTGACATATTGCTTTGGGGTAGACAATGTGTCTCTCTACAACTAATTGAGGCAGGTTGGGGTGGGGGCGGGGGGCATTTGGTTGTTGGGTATGCCAGTCACAGTTTTGATCTGGCTTGGGCGGACTCAGGCCAACCGGGTTCACACCCAGCCCAGGCTCGTCACTATTTATAACTCTTATTCTAATAATTTTTTTGGCTGCCTGTGTCTCATCCTAAAAAATTGGCTCCAGAACCAGTTTTCTAATTGGACAGTGTCCACTCAACCTTTCTGTTGACAACTGTAAAGTTTTGGATTTTCCCCAGTGTCAATGGTCACCGGGACAAATTAGAGTTGCCACCTTTTCTTCACGCGAAACCCGAACACTCTAGCGACACGCAGACATTTTTATTTGGGAGAATCATATGTAAATATCACAGTTGAGACTATTTTCAGCGGGGGGCCAGTAGCCCCTATCTTAATTTTGGTTGCCAGTCTGCCTGACATGTTGTGTCCGGGTTTCTGCTGCCATGAAACCAGGACACAGTATTCAAAGCATGGACTGTCCGGGTCAATCCTGGACAGGTGGCAACCCTAGGACATATAGAGAAGTGGAATCTCCCCAATGGGGTACACTTTAAAGTGACATTAAACCCTCAGATTTTTTAACATAAAACAATACTGTAATGTGTGCCTTACTGTAATCCATGGTTGTTTCCCTTCTCTTTGCTGCTCTTCCTTTTAAATCTGTATCTGTTCTCATGCTGGGCAGAACTTCTGTTTTGCAGCAGACTGCCTTGTCTCAGGAATGGATACATGGTGTCTGTGTATAGGTTTGTAACCTGAGCCAGCACTACAGGAAGAGGCCCTGAGCTGCAAAGTGAAGTTCTCCCCAAGCATGAGAAGACATGAGGATTTAAAAGGAAGAGCAGCAAAGAGAAGGGAAACTACCATGGATTACAGTAAGGCGCACATTACAGTATTGGTTTATGTTAAAAAATCTGAGGGTTTAATGTCACTTTAATCTCCCTCACATTACAGGTATATGAACGGCTCAAATAAATGTTGTGGGCCCCAGCAATTTTTATGTCATGTACATGAAACCAACCTTTTCATGTGCAAAAACTTTCACTTTTCTCCCAGAAAAGAAAACAAAAAAACAAGGGCTTGGCCAACTTCTGGCAGGTTGAACAAGTTAGCAAGTGTTGAGCCAGTTCTTCAGACCAAGTGTAGCCTGAAAGACTAGTTAAACTAATTAGATTTACTGGAATATACCAGCAAGAACCAGAGGTCTACATCTCAACTGGCCAAGCGCAGCCAATCTGTGGCCACAGATCGAAACAGGTTAAAAATGACAAGTGTGACAGTGCTGTGCCGTGTCAGGGTGTGAAAAGTGTTACCCAGGATTCTCACCAAAACAGGCTGAGGCACTCCAGGCTGCGTGTTTAATATGGAGAAAACTGTTTTTTCAGCTTTCTTTGGAAGGGGGTTTCTACCATCTCTTTGCTGAGTTCCTTGGTCTGCACAACTGCTGTGCTCATTATGAGGGGTTTCCACCATCCCTGCTCTGGGTTCCCGGATCTGTACACCTGCTGTGCCCATTATGAGGGGTTCCCACCATCCCTGTGCTAAGTTTCCAGATCTACACACCTGCTGTTCCCATTATGAGGGGTTCCCACCATCCCTGCTCTAAGTTTCCAGATCATAAATACATATATAACAATAGGACATATATAACAATGCACTTATAATGTCAATGACATCACTTCATACCTGCCGTATCCATCGTGAGGGGTTCCCACCTTCCCTGTAATGAGTTCCCGGGTCTGCACACCTGCTGTTCCCATTATGAGGGGTTCCCACCATCCCTGCTCTAAGTTTCCAGATCTGTACACCTGCTGTGCCCCTTATGGGGGACTCCCGACATCTGTATGCTAAGGTTCAGGGCATGCACACCTTCTTTTTCTGTTATAAGGGGCTCCCACCATCCCTGAGCTGAGCTCACAGGTCTGTACACTCACTGTGCCCATTTTGGGGGGCTCCCACCATCCTTGTGAATGTGAAGGTCAGATAAAAAAAATACTTGAACTTCCGCTGAACTCCAACCTTCCCTTCAGTCTTGCCCCTTGTATTTATTGATTTTCAGTACCTGGGGTGGTTTGCATGCATACACAACCTGACTAGGAACACCCGACTTCACCTGGCTGGAGAATTGTCAACAGGAAGTGAGTGGAAAACTCTCCAAAGTGAGGAGAGACAGTTGTCACCAAACAGGTGTCCCCACTTGAAGATTTCCTTTCACCTCTTGTCCTGATGGCAACTGAAAAATCGTGGACTTCCCATCGCACTCTGTCTCGGTCACAATGGTCCCCAGGACACATAGGGAGGCTGAATATCCACAGTACATCCTCCAACAGACACCAAACACAAACCTGTTCTAATCATTTTCTATTCTAACCAGGTGGGGCCTCCGTGGATCGGACTTGTTTTTCCAGCATATCCAACAAAGGATAAATTGAAATGAGATCTGGAGAATTTGGAGGCCTAGTCATCACCTCAAACGCGTTGTTGTGTTTCTCAAACCATTCTTGAACCATTTTTGCAGTGTGGCAAGGTGCATTTTCCTGCTGAAAGAGTCACTGCCACCAGGGAATATCTTTTCCACGAAGGGGTGTACTTGGTCAGCAACAATGTTTAGGTCGGTGGTACGTGTCATAGTGACATCCACATGAATGGCAGGACCCGAGGTTTCCCAGCAGAACGTTGCCCAAAGCATCACACTGCCTCTTCCGGTTTGCTTTCTTTCTATAGTTCATCCTGATGCCATCTCTTCCCCAGGTAAGTGACACACACACTCCCAGCCATCCACATGATGTAAAAGAAAATGTGATTCATCAGACCAGGCCACCTTCTTCCATTGCTCTGTGGTCCAGTTCTGATGCGCACATTGTAGGCACTTTTTTTGGCGGTGGACACGGGTCAACATGGACACCCTGACCGGCCTGCAGCTACGCAGCCCCATACACAAAAAAATGCGATGCCCAGTGTGTTCAGATACCTTTCTATTGGAACCAGCATGATCTTTCTCAGTAGCTCTTATATTGGAGCCAGCCTTTGCTCCCCAAGGTTTCCCAGCAGAACATTGCTTAAAACATCACACTGACTCTGCCGGCTTCCCTTCTTTCCATAGTGCACCCTAGTGCCATCTCTCCCCTAGTTAAGTGACACACATGCATCCACATGATGTAAAAGACAACATGATTTATCAGAGCAGTCCACCTTCTTCCATTGCTCTTTGGTTAGCCCCCTCATAATACTCACTAGAGAAAACATAGCATATTCTTCATCCCCTGCTCACTACACTCTAGAGAAAACAACATTACATGCAGAGAGTTATACACTGAGCGGCCAGATTATTATTATGACCACCTGACTTTTGTAGGCAAATTAGCTATAATTTGGCACTGAAGTTGCTAGAGGGCCAAGAGTCACGAGGCGGCCCAACAAATTCATCTCGTGGAGTCATCTCGTGGCCCAACAAAGTACTGATGGGGTGGTCATAATAATCTGGCCACTCAGTGTAGATCTGATGGAGGAAAGTTGTTCTGCAGAGAATGACTGGCAAGAGGTTGCAGTCCCACTCAAAGGCCTTTTTCAAACCGTGCTCAGTTTGCTAATAACCAGACGTGTCTTTAGCCTTTTTACTGTCTGAGGCCAGGGAAATGGGGGGCGCTGGCAGTGGACATTCTGGGAAGCTCCACCGCCCTTCTCTGGCTCTGACCAGCATCCCACCCAGTTCACTGATGTCACTGGTTGCCAGAACATGCCCAGGATGGAGGCCAGAGCGCCCCAGGTTGCTAAAAGCTGGGCGGGGAGATTTGTATGTATTACACATCTCCCTGCCTCGCTCTTAGCAATCTCTGGGATGCTACAGCCAGAAAGGGGGTGGCAGGCACACTGCAAACTTTGTGCAGCAGAACAACCATGCTGCTCAGCCTGCCACACACACACCGCCCCCCCACCATCACCCAAACAGATGCATGCAAATGAAAGTAAATACAAATATCTTTCTGACTTCTGATTTAGAATTGTAATAGGAATACATACTAGAGCTGTTTCTGATAATGCAATCAAAGCTTACTTGAAAAAAATCTCATGTGGTGAGCGCTGCCTTCTGTCTGCCCATCACTTCCAACAATTTCCTGGATTCCCAGAGTGCTTTGCATCACTTTCCCTGCTGCTTAATGTAATGCAATCTCCATTTTTCAAGGCTACATATCCCATCAAGCGTTGCTTCCAGCAAGCAATGATAATGTTACATTGTTCAGACATTGAGAAGGCAGGTTCTGTGTTGTGACACCAGGAAGTGCATATTCACCGGGCAGAGTAGAATTGTGTCAGGGCACTGAGGAAGTCCATCCCGTGGGCATCTTCAATAACTAAGTTTCTAACAAACATCTAGATGGATATGGTTATTAGGAGCAGGATAAAACTTCAGTATATACATATATAAATAAATACATATTTATTTTTCCTTTTTGACCATAGGTACACTTGAGGCACAATACTAATGTGCCTGAAGGTGATTTTTAAAGCCGATAGATTTCTTCTTCCCATGTACACTCTTCGCTTTGTTCTAATTCTTCTTCTGTTGTCATTCCATCAGGAATCTCTGCCCTGGCGGGCTCAAGACCATCCTCTGGATCGTCCTCCACCGGGTTCTGAGGTGCGGTATCTTCATCTGACTCTTCACTGGAGTCACTGGTCTCATGCGGCTGGAAGGGATGCCATCTCCTTTCTTCCACGCTGTAAGAAAGATGACGGAAATGTGGACTTTACGAAATGTTACACAAGAGGAACAATTTGTTGCGTTGCATTATTTTGCAGTGTTGACACCATAGGGCAGGATTATAGAACACTCCCTGTCCTGTTCCCCATAACATAGGATAAGGCATTCTGTAGTCCATATAGAGAACTGAGATCAATCTGCAGCACAGGCGGAGAGGAAAAGGAACTCTCAGGAATTTGGGGGGACCTCACACTGTTTTTTTATTTCTCATCTTTAATACCATAATAAACTCCATCCAAATAGATTCAGAGTGATCTGAACTGAAAACAAAAAATTTGAATCGATCCCAATAACGAACCAAATCCATTTTTCGGATCCAAAATACTCAAAACTCCTGTGACTTTTTGGCTTTACTTTGGCCGCTTTGATCCTCTGGGGTATATGGTATGGGGTATGGTATATACCCCAGAGGATCAAAACGGCCAAAGTAAAGCCAAAAAGGGTTTGGACAAAGTTTGGCTTTACTTCTCTTTTAACTCCCATCACTAATCAAAAAGTAGAGAACAGTCCAACCTCCTACTAGATAGATAGATAGATGTTCTCTTTCTCCATTCAAACCAGCTTCGAACAGGTTACACAGCAGGGCAAGCTTCCCCGCTGTGTAACCTGTCATGGACGGAGCGCCGCCTGTTAATTTTAGGTCAATGAACAATAGAAATCACCAGCACTCCGTAAATGAATTTAAAAAAAAGTCCATTTATTTGGACTAAACGTCACACATATCGCACAATCCAACGTTTCGGGACCACGCAGGGTCCCTTCATCAGGGTAGAGACATAACTAAGATTGTCACTGCGAGCACCACTATTTTCACTTGGACCGGAAGTGGGGGCCTATTGTTTTCTGTTAATTTTAGGTGGCGCTTCATCTGGCTTTTGACAGCTATGTTAGGTTACACAGCAGTGGCCTTCCCTGCTACTGTGTGTAACCTAACACAGTGAGGCCAGAGCTACAACAGCCTCTAACTTGAGCTCTGTGGATGGTTTGGACCAATGGCAAAGAGTCATTGGTCCAAGCCATCCATTAAAAAAACGAAAAAACAAACACACTGACGGCATACATCTAGATGCCTTATCAGTGACGAGCAAGTGAGGGATAGGGAGATTTCTCCCCGTCTCCTACCTCCCTCCTCTACACATAGCTCGGGGACAGGACGGGGAGGGTGCCTCACCTGCCACAGGCCTCGTCGCATGTCCCTGGTACAGATAGATAATAGATAGATTAAGGTCCTCTTAAAACAAGCAAATGAATACAGCCTTTCTCTAACTGGGATGACATTTATACTATAACAGGATTTTTGGGGGGATTTGCCATTTTTACTTCAATTGAATACACACATTAGGTAATGTCTTTCCTCCAAGTCATGTTCATTTGGCCTTGAGCCAAAGCACCAATTTTTCGGGAACCTCTGCTCCATAGCTACCGTGGTGGCAGTGATCTGGAAATAAATAATTAATGATAATGACACATATTGACACATATTACTGAATCATACAGAAGAGGACATTATAGACAGGTATAGTTGAAATGAAATGTTGTCACTTAAAATGCTGTACTTCCCCTTTAAAGTACCCCTTTTGTTTGACCAAATGCCCGATTCTTGGCATTAAGAAAATTACATTTTGTGTTACAAAAGGTGCGGGGAGTTCACCAAAGTGAACAAAGTCCTCCATGATGAAGGTGCCTGGATGCCCTGAAATGTTGGATGTTCTCTGGACCTCATATATTGTCACTTTCTTCCCGACTCTATGCCTTGAGGCCCCTATACAATTGGTACGCATATTGGATGCTACTTTATATCTGGAAACTTGTGTATGTGCAGCTTCCATTTTGCACTTCATGCCTTTTATATTTGTAATTGTAAATATCTACTATGTATTGTAAACATTTTTTATATTTGTACAATATATCAACATGTTTTGCATCAGAATGGTGGTTGGTGTGCTTACATACTATTTTACTAAACCAACAAAGTGACCTTCGGCCTGAGCCCAAGTGGTCCTAATGACATATCCTCTCTCTAAGCATGGGCATTGTTGACATCTACTGCAGCAGATGCCTCACCTGTGCTTTCCATAACTCTTCTTTCTTCTTCGCCATGGTTGCCTGTGTGTCTCCCATCATGGCAATGAGCAGGTTGAACATCAGGAGGAAGGCAATAACACAAAATGAGCCGTACAGTAAGATGTACATTTCAGGGACATCCACATCATAGTTGGCGGGGCCATTGAGGATGTTCAGGAAGAGCTGGTAGGTGCTTTCCAAGGAGATCATGTATGGGTAGAAGGCACCAAGAGCTGTTTGGTTTACTGGTTGGAATATGATATACAGAGCTGGGGAAGGAGAAAAGAAAATGAAAAATCAAGGGAATGGATCCCTGTACTAGAGTTGAGATGAGCTAAATGGGTAGAGACCAGAGAACAGCAGGGGATGCAGGAAGTTGCTGTTGACCATATACCCCAGAGGATCAAAGATTGAATACGATTTACTGAGATCAGAGGTGCACAACCTTGAAATGGATCATAGTTACATAGTATTTAAGGTTGAATAAAGACACAGGTCCATCAAGTTCAACCCATTGTGTGTATGCATGTGATTCTGCATGTGTATGCGTGTGTGTACGAGTCCCTGTGTGATCCTGGTCTTAAGTGTACCTGTACCCCTGTATGTTATGATCTCTGAGGAAATCGTCCAAATGTTTTTTGAACGATTCAACACTCCCAGCTGAAATCACTGCTTGCGGCAGCAAGTTCCAGACCCTAAGCGCTCTGACTGAGAAGAACGCCCTACGCACCTTGTGCTGAAATCTTTTCTCCACAAATTTTAGGTGGTGGCCTCAAGTCTTTGTTATGGAGCTTACCGTAAAAAGTTTATTGCTGATGTCGCCATCACCATTGAACATCTTGTACATGAAAATCATATCCCCCCTTAATCTCCTCACTTCCAGCTTGAACATGTTTAAATTTAGTAATCTTGTCTCATAGTTTTGCTCCTCCATTCCCTTAATTAGTTTGGTTGCCCTTCTCTGGACTCTTTCCAGCTCAAGGACATGCTTTCTGTGGATTGGTGACCAAAACTGGACCGCATACTCCAGATGAGGCCGAACCAGTGAACTGTAAAGTGGCAAAATGATAGACTTGTCTCTACGGATCCTAAAAGTTTTCAAAGTATCAGATTATGTGTATGTACAGCCAATTTGTAATCTTTTTTTTGTGCATGTAATTTTTATTGCTATTTCAAAGGATGCACGTCCAAAATGAACAAAGTATTACAAGATGACATAATACCATAATAATGTAGGTACATATGAACCATACAGTCTTGTAATTAGAGTCAGGACATTCGATTATTCAGGAGACATAGCAAAAGATATTTATCTCTGTCAGTAGCGTTTATCCACATTAACATAAAAACAAAATCATAATAACTTAACAGAACAGAAAAGAAAATAAATGTTTGTCACGTCATGGAGTAAGAGTAAAAGAGATAAGCAATATTGCTGTTGCCTTCTTCGCAAACAATTTTTAATCTTGATTTTGTATGGAGTATGGAAGGGTCAGTACCCCAGTCTTGTTTTTATTGCTAATAAAATGGATCTCAGATTGAAGCGCCACACCATAGTCCAGATACACATTTATTCCAATTTTAGATCAGGTAGAAGACCATAAAATAGATATAAATGAATGCAGACTGGATTGGAGAGACAATGTATGTCATGTCCTATCTTGTTACAGAGTTTAATACTTTAGAAACATTTATAAAGAAAGTGACAATGCTCAATTCATTCTTTTCTACATACCTGTGCTGTAACCAACCACCACCACGGCCATCAGCCAACAAAATTTCAAGAGATCACTGGCAGCCATCTGTAATATAAAAAGAAAAAAACAAGAAGGAGAAAGAGAAGGAGATGGAGAATGAAATGGAGAAAGAGAAGAAGAAGGAGAAAGAGATGGAAAAAGAGAAGAAGAAAGAGATGGAGAAGGAGAAAGAGATGGAGAAGGAGAAAGAGATGGAGAAGGAGAAAGAGATGGAGAAAGAGAAGGAGAAAGAGATGGAGAAGGAGAAAGAGATGGAGAAGGAGAAGGAGATGGACATGGAGAAAGAGAAGGAGATGGAGATGGAGAAAGAGAAGGAGATGGAGATGGAGAAAGAGAAGGAGATAGAGAAAGAGAAGGAGATGGAGAAGGATAAGGAGATGGAGAAAGAGAAGGAGATGGTGAAGGAGAAGGATAAGGAGAACGATAAGGAGATGGAGAAAGAGAAGGAGATGGAGAAAGAATAAGAGAAGGAAATGGAGAGTTAAAGTGAAAATAACTGATACAAAAATAATTGCTAGTGGGTATAGTTTGAGTGCTAGCACCATTCTTAGCATCTTTGATAATGAAGCCGGTTGGGTTGCCGGGATAATGTAAATCTCCCAAATTGTGCAAATATGCTTTGCATGCTTCCTCCCTATGACAAATGGGTCGGGGACCCACAGCAGTTTTAGTTTCGCTTTAAAGATGAACTCCGTTAAACACTCTTTCTATATAAAAAACAGCCACAATATATAAATATTTTTTTAGAAAAACGACCCTTTCTGTGAAGGTCTCTGATTTTGTATGGTATCCAAACATTACAGTACAGGAAGTTATGGGATATCTCATCAACTGGGTCGAGGACAAACAGCAAAACTAAGTTTGTAGTAGCAAGAGGAATGACTGAGCCTTCCTGTTTCAGTAACTACTGCACTCCCCATTTCTTGCATGGGTTTCATGCAGACAGGAAGTGAGGGAAAAACTCCCCACTGGAGTCACAAGCCAGAAATAAAACAGAAAGTTTGTCTTCCCCATTTTATAAAGCTAAAAAATAATAAAATGTTGTCTATAGTTGGACTTTAAATGACCTTTGAGTGTATTTTACCTTTTGGATCATGATGGTGAACGGTCCAACCATTTGGAATCCACGTGCAAAATACATGACATAGCACCAACCAAACACCAACGCCGCAGACATAGAGACTACCTCACCGTCCGTATTTGTCAGCCTCATAATCAGCACCACCAGGATCAGACAAGAGAAGGAAATCCTGCAAATTTTACACATATTATTCAGTTACACATTTCAAAACTCTGAACAGGATGTGATAATAAGGACTTAAAATGTATCTAAACCCGAGAACAAACATGTAATATATCGCAGCTTACCAATCCTTAGATGTGGTGGCTGCAATTATCGGCAATCCTACCAATCACACACTTCCTGTCCTAAGGTGACAACACTCACTCACTCTACTGTATCTATGAAAGGGCAGCATTGCCACCCTGTGACAGCACTACATAGACTTGACCCTCATCTAATTTTCTCGCTAATATAGAAAGGTTCTGTAGTCTTCAGAGATACATGGTAGCACTACAAGATGTGTCAGATAGCAGAGGCAGAGAGCACAGAATGGGACATTTTTCTGTTGCTTTACTTTGCACCACTGGCACCCTGGGACAGGATTACAGAACACATAACCCTCTTCTCTTCTCCATAGCATAGTATTCTGAAGTCCACAGAGAGAACTGGGAACAATGTAACTCTGTAATGTAAAGCAAGGACAGAGAGCACTGGAGGTTATCAGCTGACAAGAATTCTGGTGAGATCAACAAGTATTATTTTGCACCTATTGAACAGAAATAACAAAATGCTTTAAATGGTAAGTTTAAAGGAGAACTATGAGGCGAGTGCTTTTCACTCACCTCATAGTTCTAGCCGACCTGTGACAATGAGACTGTCACAGGTCGGCTCAGTAGATTGGGAGGTGAGCGAACACATCGATCCTGTCACTGCTCTCTGCCGTGACAGGGGAAGGGCTGGATTCCCCCCTCCCCGCTCCGATCCGCCAGCGCTGAGTGGCGGAACGGATCGGGGAGGGGGCGGGTACAGCTGGCTCTGCCTCTAGACAGGCAGAGCCAGCACTCAGTCACGTAGCTGGGCGGATCCCGGCACAATTGTCGGGATCCGCTTCAGCTGCGGCGTCTCAGTATACCGCGAGCAGCAGCTTGCGGTATACTGTGGCGTCTCAGTATACCGCGAGCTACAGCTCGCGGTATACTGAGCCTAGGGTGACCGGAGGATGCTAGTTTGTGTCCTCCCGTTACCCTAAGGAGAACTATGGGGAAAAGCCTTAACCCCATAGTTCTCCTTTAACTCTGAAGAATTGAACTTGTGTTGGACTCTCTTCCCCTGCCTCCCATGGTTACATTACGAACTGTGAAGTTCAACAATATGATAGTATTAATGACATGATGGGGGTGAGGCTGTGGTGGCATAAGGAACAGTATATATAACTCTATCGATATGTTAACAATTGGGATAAAATTATTATTAAACGATGTCCCCAAAACATTGAACTTGAATTTGTAAAACTCAGATACCAGTCTATATGATCATAGGATCCATTGAGACAGGTCAACTTACACATGTCTATTAACTTGCCGTGTTGTAAGGCAGCCTATTCACCTTCTGTCAACACACAACAATGCTGTTAACAGACCTGCAGCACTTCTTTCAACACATCACTGAGGCGTGTTGAAAGGCATGTGCATTGTGGTTCTTTGGCTAGGTGCATTAGGGTGCCATTCAAAATGAATAGCACTACAACACAGTGAGGAGGCAGGAAGGGAAGGCGCAAAACACACTGTATAATGATAAACAAGCCATAAGGTAGCTGCTTAAAGGGCCAAGTCCAGCTCAAAAATGACTGCCATGCATCGGTAAAATATATATTATTAGATGATTTTATCAATCAGCTTCCCTGGATTTGGCTCACATTTCCGTTTGGGATTCATTGGTTTGAACATAATTAGCTAGATTCAAGTACTGTATGGGGAATGGAAGCATTGGTCAGTTGATTAGTTCAGAATTCTAAAAAAACTTTGTGGCCAGACTTGGTTACCAGTGACTGATCACTGCTATGACATATTTTGGAATCAGCTACAATTGCATTGCCTTCACCTCATGCTCGTCGCATTGCTTCAGTATTTGTGCACTTATGCTAAAAAGAGTTTAAAAACAAACACCCAACATGGTCAAGAATGTCACAACTTTCTAACCTGATCAGATGGAACGGATCCTTCCACAATGTATGACTGATGAAGCACCTTGCCCCAGCTTTATATACCAGTGAGACCTGAAAAGCAAAAAGTGAAGATAGTGCAAGGAAATTTCTGACTCATATCCAGCTTTTCATCTGCGCTGAGCCTACACTCTGTTTTGCTTCTTTCTTCTCTTTCAACCCCAGTATGCACTCTGCACTATTTCCTTCCCTTTCAGCATTCCCCCATACTTGTTCCTATAATTCTCCTACAGTGTTCTGCCTCTGCCATTTTCACTCCTTCCCCTCCAGTGTCCCACCTGTACCATTTTCCCTCCTTCATCATCCCCCCCATACCAGTTCCTCTAACTTCCCCTCCACTGCCCCCTCGTACCATTTCT